GTGTGTGTGTGTGTGTGTTTGTGTGTGTGTGTGTGTGCGTGTGTGTGTGTGTGCGTGTGTGCGTGTGCGTGCGTGCGTGCGTGCGTGTGTGGGTGCGTTTGTGTGCGCGAAGGTATGTGACGAGGGGTTGAGGCAGGGCATGTGGGGCGGGCTTGGGTGGGCAATGCAGTGCAGGGCTCTGATGCTCCAGGCTCTCAGGCTCGGGGGCCAAGGCGCTCTTGACGAAGCGTGTTGGCCACAGCACGCCGCCCCCCCTCCCCCAACCTTGCTGCGGCCTTCCTGCACGGGTGCTGTGCAGGCGGTGCCCGCAGGCGGCGGCCTGGTGGTGGCCACGGGCAAGATGTGGGTGGCGCCCGCCGCGGAGAGCGACCCGCGCGCCATCAGCATGCAGGCCGTGGGGGAGGGCCTTTCACCCGCTGCCCTGGCGGCCGGCTACCTGCCGCCGGTGAGGGCGGGGCAAGACTGAGGGGCTGCAACGAGGTGGAGGGTCTGGGCGGGGTGCGGCTCGTTACCTGCCTCCTGCAGTCCGCCGTCTGTTGGCTCTTGACGCTCATCCGACGTCGCCCGCGGCTCTGACTGCAAGCATCATGTACTCAGACACCGTTGTTCCCCCTCCCATGCCCTCTCTGCAGGGCACGTCGCCGCCGCCCGCGCTGGCCAGCGTGGGACCCCTCAACGTGCGCGGCTCGCTGGAGGGCTCCCACCTGGCGCCCGTCGCCCGTGCCCAGTGGCTCGCGCCCTCCAGCGGCGTCGCCGGCAGCGCCACCCTGGGCCCCACGCGTATGTCTGGGGAGCTGACGGGCCCTTCCTTCAGCCTGCGCGCCACGGCGGACACCAGCGCGCCGCACGCTGACCTGGCGCGCGGCGCGGACACCCAGGCGGAGGCGACCTACTGGGGGGCGCCGCGCGTGGAGGGCGTTGAGGTGGACGCCACCCTGGCGGGGGCGGACCTCAGCCAGCTGGCAGCGCAGACGCCACCCCAGCAGCAGCAGCAGCAGCAGCCGCAGCAAGAGGAGCCGCAGCAGCAGGGTGAGGGCGCAGCAGCGGGCGGGGGCAGCGAGAGGGGGCAGGGGGACGGTGGCGGCGAGGGGGCGCTTGCGGCGGTGCAGCACCAGGTGCAGCAGCAGCTGGGGGGCCGTGGCGGCAGTGCAGGCACCGGGGGTGGCAGCGGCATCGGTGTTGGCGGCGGGGGGCTGATGCTGCCTGCGGGGCGCGCGGACGCCCTGCAGCAGCAGCTGGGCGGCGCCGCACCGAACCCCACTGGCAGCGCCGGCGGCGGCGGCGGCGTGCTGCCCGTCGGCGGCCCCGGCGGCCCCAAGCTGCGCCTGAGCGGCCGCCTGCGCCTGTCCGCCAAGCGCGACGAGGACGAGGCGCGGCGGCGGCAGCAACTGGGCGCGGCCGGGGAGGCGGGCGCGGGCGCGAGCCCCTATCTGTTCACGGGGCCCCTGACCCTGGAGGGCCTGCGGCTGAACCAGCTGGCCCTGGCGCGCTTCCTGGCCGGGGACGTGGCGCTCACGGAGCCGCGGCTGCTGCTGCGCGCGAGGGGGGGCAGGGCGGACGAGCTGGTGGAGCTCGACATAGCGCTGCCCGCACCCATGGACAGGGGGGGACCCGGGCCGGACGGCCACGTGCCCGCGCCGACCTACTGGCCGGAGGGCTTCGCACCGCCGCAGCGGAGCGCCCCCAGCGGCGCCGGCGCGGGCGCCACGGCACGCGCCTGGCGTGGCGGCGCGCTGCGGGCGAGGGCCTCAGGGGGAGTGGGGCAGGCGCCCTGGGAGGACCGCGGCCGCGAGGCGGCGGTGGCGCGGGGGCAGGCGTACAGCGCTCTGGGGGGCCGCGGCGATGGCTACGGCAGCGGTTACAGCGGCGGCGGCGGCGGTGCGGGTGACCGGCGTGATGAGGAGGCTGAGCAGCGCGTGAGCCACATCCTGCTGCGGCGTGGTGGCCTGTACCTGTCGTCAACGGTGGGCAGGGCAGCTTGCGGGGTCGGCGGGTTGCGGCACTCCATGGCGTTCTCGCTTGCAGCACCCCGCCTGCGCAGCCCTGCAGCTGCTCTCTCCTTCCTTCCACACACCGCCTGGCCATCTGTCGCGCCCCTCGCACCAGCCCTTTCACCACCCCTCCCACCATCCCTTCCCTCCCACCG